TTATTATTACTGTTCATAAATACATCTGAACAAAATGTTTTAAGATACAATCCAGCATGTATGTTGAGTAATAATTTTATAATAAAATTTAGAATTGTGTCACTAACGGACAGAGATTTAATAACACATGAATGGCTATTTCATCAGTTGTGGCTTTCAATAGAAAAACATTTTCCAAAACATTTTAATAAATGATGGGCTCGATAGTCAACTACTTTTCATTCTGTTTCAATTATATAGCTGAAGAGGAAACGTGTAGGAGCAGGATTCCGTGGTTCCTCAAACCCCTTCCAGACGGCAGCGGAACTTCTGAAGTCTTCCCAGAATGAGATCCTCACACCTCAAGAACCTGCCCATAAGGAAGAGGAACAGGAAAAACAACCAGAGAGCAAAAGAACCAAAACGTTGTCCTCCTCCTCATCCACCTCCGAAGCCAAAACCACTGCCTCGAGTAACCCCAGCAAGAAAGCAGGCAAGGCTCTAAGCAAGAAACAGCAAAAGCTAGCAGAGGCAGCCAAGGACTCGCACTGTATATCTCAGTACTTTGGGAAGAAGAAGACGTACAGCACTCAGGGAAAGGAAGATCGCATTGTCTCAAAGCCTGAAGAAGGAGGTTCCTCTGTGCCTGCAGCTCAAGAATGCAACAACTCTGTTTCAGCATCTCCTATTGACATGAATGCTAACCCTGCCAATCTGGATGGCAGTTCCATGGATGTGGAAAAAGGTACAAGGAATTCCAAGCCTGTGGAGAATCATGGTGGTGAAGGTAGTCCCATGAATATGAATGCTACACAGGAGGAGAAGATTGGAGATGCCACAGCAGTGTCAGACACTCGGAGGTAAGTATCTATACTGTAATCATTGATTCTGGAAGAATTGTCTGGAATATTCTTAGTATGTTCTATACTGTCCTCCACCTTCTACTTCTCATACAGGAACGAGCCACAGTCTGATGCCCAACAAGCACCATCAGAAACGGTAATCACCAGTTCAGCTCTTGATTAGACTCATTTACCTATTGATTTCCTCTAATACCACATCAAACAGGTACACTTGTTAAAGCAGGATCTATGTTTGTCTCACATCTAGTTCTTTTCTTACAGTCCCATCAAGCAAGAAAGTCCAAAGAAAGTCGTGTAGGCCTCTGCCACCCAACCACTGATAGCAAAAGGAGGGTGACATTTAACCCCGTGTTACAGGAACACAAATTAGAGGTGGAAAACATGCACGATAATCAGATTTCACACCAGCCTGTTACACTAAAAGAAGCTGCTGACATTGTGGTGAAAATCTTGGATCCTTTCTACAAAAAGGGGAAGTTTGCTACCAAGGTAGGAGCTAGCTGTCTCCTCTTACACTCTATTTCTGTTTTGTTTATGGACAGATAATTATCAATGATAGCAAAAAAAGGAAAATAAGGGTGTCTTTTTTCCCTAGGACCTGTTCAAGTCATTTGCACGCTTCCTCTCGCATCTGCTTATTGAGGGAAAAGCTAAAGATCGAGGGAAAGGTATGATTATTTGTTACAAATCTGAATGTTCCCCAACAGCCCAACTTTTTCTAATTTACCTCAGATCTGTCACTTATAACACCTTTCAGTGACAGTTTTAGGCTTATGTAAATAATGCATGCAGACTAGACATTTTGTATTAAAGCAGTATTCCAACATTTTTTATCTAATCTCTGTTGGCGCAGACAGTAATTTCCCTGTACAGAACAAGTAAAAAACCTGTTGATTCAACACACTTAGGGCCCGACGCAGCATGCTGATGTGAAAGAACTGGCGCCAACTAAGGCTGACCGATGATCGCCTTCCCTCACCTCACTGTCACCTTACATCTCCTGTGAAAACATACACTGAAAGAGTTCAGCTGACAGCCGACATGCCTGCACTACAGGAAACAGCTCTCGATAGCAGGAGCTGTCAGTAGTCTGTAAAACTGGAACATACAGAGTAAAGAATATATGGTATGTGGATCACTCAAAGTCTGAATTCTTCAAAGTCAGATTTGAAAACACAGTTCAGACTTGTAACTTAATTGGACTTGAATCCTTTTGCTTTGAGTGACCATATACCTTAATTAATTCAATATTAATTAAATATGAATGGATTCATTCATTAATTGTTTTTATGTTATGTTCTTAAATAACTAAACATTCCAATTTGTCACTACCAAAACAGTCCTAACACTACCAAAATGTTACCCAATGTTTTAGTAGTGACTGTTTTAGTAGTGACAATTTTAGCTGATTTTGAGCAGAACCCAAAATAGCCAGCCAGTACAAGACTAGCAAACGCAGAAAATATGTTTTTCAGTAGTGATGTTTCTTAATGTTTTGCACTGATTTTCAGACTTTGATACACATTTACTTCAAAACAGTGGGATCTAAATGCTCACCATGTGGCCAAGAGGGACAGGGATGCAGTCTTTCTTCCTGATCTTAAATGTAGTAGTTTGTTTCAATAGTGACATGAAAATGTGGGACAGCATTGAGTAAAGTGTTTTTTTTTTTGTTTTTTTTAATCGTGATAAATCAAAATCTTTCAACTTCACTTTAAAGAAATCAAAAAGATCTTTTAAAAAAAGTACTAATTGTAATATGCATTTTATATAATATGCAATTGTAATATGAAATTTAGGGTTAGGATTTGGGAAATCTACCTCCCAATAGAAAGTACCCTACAGTTGATTATTTTGTATATTTTTAGCTTAATACTATTTCAGTTAATGGTTCTTAGGTTTAAATATATCATAACACAGTCTTTGTCAATATCTAAGATCTGAATATGTTGTATTATAAATTGTTTATTTTTTTTAAGGGGGAAGGGGGCTGTGGGCCTGCATTTTGAACTAATTCAGTGGAAATGGTCCATAAACATGACATAACCATATATATACATAACATACCATAAACATGTCATGGCAGATGTCATGTGGCAGGTGTCATAGTACAGAGTACAGCACAAACACTCACATAAAGTACAGATACATGCAGAGTCCACATGTATTTAAATGTCCAAGTTGAGAGAGGGTGCACTAGGATACTGATTATTTTTTTTTTTCATTTGGGAAACGTAAAAACCATCCTCAGATCTTATGTTTTTTTTTCTTTGTACACAAGTCTATCAACTGCCAAACATGAGGACAATTCTCTTATCCATGAGCTTAAAACTGGGTGGGTTGCACTCCTCCAATGCATAGAAGTCATATGCTTTGCATGTAGTAAGCAGAGATTAAAGAGTTTGGATTTGTGGCTTCTTAATGACACTGTTTCTAGGATAACAGCCAATAAAGAAAGCTTAGGATGGACTGGAACTGTCTTACCAATAATTTTGGAAATTGTGCTGATTCCATTCCAAAATGTTTGCAAAAACTCACTCTCCCATATACAGTGCAATCAGATTGCTTATAGGTATTACATTTTATGCAGATGTCTGCAATATTGGGATTAAACTTGTTCAGCTTTGCTGGTATTAAGTAAATTCTCACTATTTATACGGGACTCGTTTGTATTGTGTATTAAATGACAAGGTCTGTGTCTCCACTCATGTTCTATAATATCAACCTGGAGAACCTTTTATAATTTGAGGGTTCCTGAGATACATTTGCAAATTGTCTATATAGATAAGTAGTTAGATTTCATGGAAAAGGGGTCATTTACTACTATTTCCTTAATAGTGGTTAAAGGTGGGCATTGCGAAGGGTCTGTTTTATAACTTATAAAACTACATACTTGCAAGTACCTAAAATATCTTAAAAAAACCCAAATTGTTCTTTAAGATCAAAAGATATTTGGGTCTCATCAGCAAAGAGGTCTGAGACTTCTCTATTATAAGTGTTTTGATTCAACAGGTTTTCTCTTCTTTAACTAAAATGAATGTCCCTTGTAATCGGCCATATCTTATGAATTGTACAGTGTGGCAGATAGAGATTAGATCACATAAATGCTAGTGTGCTCCTATAAGAAGGGTTTAGCTGTAAAATGTTTTCTGAATGTTGAAAATAATTGGTGATTTCCTTTGCCTATTTGTATTCACAGTGAAAATGGAGGCAAAGAGCCTCATCAAGCGCTTCTTCAGTAGCACCCAACGTTGTGAGAATGAGGCAGACTGGAAATGCCTGCAAGGAGCAGCCAGTGCGAAACACAAAGGAGCAGACAGGACTGCAACTGAGGAGGATAGATAGGGTATCGTGACTGCCCCTGCTTTGCCCTCTCCTTACCTCTGATCCTTAATGCCATCATAGCCCCCACCCCAACCCCTTCTCAGGGATGCTACATGCATATCAGATGCCGCTGCTAATCTGAAGGAAGTTTATCTCTGAGAAACTGATGCTAGGCTGCTTCCACTAGTGCACTTTAATTACAACTTCTGGCTGCATTGTTGTTTACTTTTAAATCCAGGGCCAACTGGGCACCCTTTAGTTACTGTGATATAGCTTTAGTTTTTAGCTGCTATCTTAGATGCTGTGATGTCAAACAATGGATTACAAATGACCTAAAGCATATTTCACAGTGTGTTTTAGTTCATGTTTTGCTTTTCTTTGTTTAATGCAGTATGGACACGTTTCTTTTTCTTGTGCCCAGTCATCTTAAAAGGTGTTAACGTGACACCCGTGTGAAACGAAAATAAATAATGTACATTATTTCAAATAAAGGATCAAATGTGATCATCTTAAGTCTTGTTAAGATTCTCAGGTCTTGGAGGTCATGCACAGAGTTGTGCAAAAGTCAGAGACTACCAACCATTTATTTAATTTCCACCAAAATTGCCATCAAGTACAAGAAATATCAGAAATATCTCCTGAAAATAAAATGGCTGTTTTGACTGGGAATTAAATAAATGAAGTGGGCTCTCTGACCTTTTCACAGCATGTCACACTGTGTGAACTGAAAGTTGGTGTTATCTAAAAGAAACTATTCTAGGAATAAGACTTCCTGTGTTAATGTGTGCCCTGGCCAGAAAATATCCAAAGAAAAGTTCAAACAGCACAATAAAGTAAACGTGTCTATGTTTATTCTGATTTATTATTCACAGAAAGTGCATTTTCATGGCAGGATTACTATCTCACAGATCACAAACAGACAAACAGATCGTATCCATTTGTTATACATATCTATGAAAGTACAGAATGGACAAGGTGAGCAGATTGCCTTTCTTATAAGGTGCAAACAGTAAGTACAACAGAAGCAGCATCAACAACAGACTGTATGCTAAGTGGGTAGTCTTTTATAGAGCTACAGATTTGTCATTCACTAAGAGAAGACTTGTTAGCCAGTGATGTAGCTAATATCAGGATTGCATTTCACAAATCAGGATTTCTCAGTTATCAAGATAACTTTAAGTCAAGGCTGTCTAGTAGAAGAAGAAGTAAGGGACACTGCAAATGGACAGTTCTCACTTTATGGCATAAGCTGTAGAGCCCTTGGCTTATTATACAGTTATTAATCATAACACTATTCAGTAATCACTACATTATTTAGTAACTACTGTGTAATTAATATGTGGGATTTGACTTGTAATTAGAGTGGACATTGCACATCGCATTCAAACTGAACTGAAATCATAGATTTCGCCCATCTCCAGGTAAAACCAATCGAGCTTCAATAGGGCTTAGAGTGCCCAAATCATAGGAAACTGCATTTGCCTCACTTAAATAAGAGATGGAAACATTGTTAATGTTTAAAAGGGTGCCACTCACCTTTCAGTATTTACACTACATATATAGAAACAGACCTGCAAAAACTGCCTGTTTTAAAATTGTTTTATGACATGATGAAAAACAACGCATACAGTCATATGCAAACGTTTGAAAACACCCAGATATTACCTTTTTTTGAAGATAAGTTAGCACATCCTATACAGAAAACAAACCTAAATATGGCACTTTTTTAGAGCGTAATTTCTTCAAAAAGGTCACTTCCTGTTTTTTTCCCCAATATCCAGTAAATAAACAGTACTTGTACATTGAAATGTACAGAAGTTTGTTCTTTGTACAGGATGTGTTAACTTATTTTCACTCAGAAAAAAAATCAACAAAATCTAATTTGACCAGGGGTGCCAAAACTTTTACAACAACTGTATATACACCTATTCAGCCTACAGTAGTTTAGCTCCACTCAATCACATTGAAGTTAAAAGCAGTGCTCAGATTTTTGGAATGAGGAATGATCCAGGGCAGCCAATCAGAACAGAAACCATGTGCATATATCAGCCTTACAGCAGTAACAGAAACAGCCTGTTAAATTTTTAATGACTCTTTTTGTTACATAAATACAACGTCATACGTAGGACATGGCCCCTTCACATTACAGGTGTGGGCTCACCTACGGGCCCGTAGGGTTTAAGAGGTTACGTTATTGGGCTTTACTGAAAAATCTTGTTTTGTGAAATACCCCCCAGGAGTGCTGTTTAAATGAAGCGCTGATTTACATTATGACCCTTCAGCCCCACAGGCACATTGCTGGGCACATGCAGCGGCTCCTATCCCCTGGTGATCTGATCACCAGGTCTTTCACGATCTCCACCGTGCCAAAGAGTGGAAAGAGCTTCTCATCGAAGCTCTCGTTGTATGTGTAGATGTGCGAGCGTTTCTCGGCATCGTAGAAGGACAGCTGGCCCTGGTCGAAGTCCAGGTGGACGCCCAACCTGCGGGGGATGAGGTCGGCGGGCAGGGCCGTGAAGGGCACGGTCAGGGCCTTGAGCTCGGTGCCTCTCTCCAGGCGCAGGGTCAGGTAGCCCGTGTGCGTGTTGAGGGACTTGAAGCCCTTGCGCAGCGCAGACTCTTTGGCGACGCCCAGCCGCCAGTCCATCTCTCCCACGTCCACCTCCCAGTAGTGGCGACCTGAGCCGAAGCCCTCCATGCCCACAGCGCACCACCATCCGTCAAAGCGCTGGTGGTAGTTGGGCACTTCCTTGCGCTCAAAGCCGCAGCGCATGCGCTTCTCGTCGTCCGAGATTAACAGGTCCGGGTTGGCTGTTTCCAGGTCCAGGGTCACCTCAACTGTAGAAGCAGCGAGCTATAATAACAGTCTGTTCCTGTTCACATCTTAACAGCTCATTCTGAGAAAGTTGATAACTTACCTGCAGCATCGCAGATCCAGTCCCATACTGATGAACAAAAAAGAGAAAAACTTTGTTTCACACTGTCTCTCATGATAGACCTCAAACTGCATTCTGACATTTAGTACATACTATGAAACTTGTGTATGTTTAGATAGTGAGCAATTTATGTGTGGAGTGCTGTTTAAGTGCTTATAGGAAGCACGTTATAAATAGGAGGGGGCTGATGGCAGTATCACTTGTCTGGCTTACCCGTGTGGGGAATGTAAGGAGTAGCACCTGAAATCGTAAAGAGAAGCATTCAATATGAATCAAAATACGCACAAAGCTGAAGAGATCTTGGTCTTAAAAAGAACACTTTGAGAGGAGTTAGCGCAAACATGCCACGTGAACTTACCTATTTTCTGACTCTTCTGCTTCCAAATGAGCCACTGCCGGGGAATGTTCTCCTGAAACAAAAAAATATCAGCTGGAACCCTTTTCTAAGCTTCAGCTATACACTTGCTCAGCCATTTAGCATCAAACGTTCACATATTACATACATATTATTATATATTGCTCCCATACCTTGTCCAACTCTTTGGCCAGTAGAGTCCAGAAGATCAGCTCCATTGCAGGTTGCAGAGTGGGCATGCGGCCTCGTCTCCAGTGCTTTTCCAAATCATCCAGCACCACCACCATCTGCTCGCCTGGCCACACGCTTTGCTAAAGAGGGAGAGAGAGATTAAGAGTACCTACACCCAACTACACCAAACATGCAGAACACAAAAACAGCCAGACAGAACGAGAATTTAGCTTCTATGAGACAAATGTTTGTCATGCGTTCAGAACATTGAGCTATGTCTGCTCTTATCATTTAATACAGTGATGTTTCCCCTAATGTTACATTCTTCAAATAACCAATTATTGTATATGAAAATGTGCAGAAATGTGTTCTCTGTAGAGAATGTGTTCACTTACTTTCACTTAGAAAATCAACTAAACATAATTTGACAAGGAGCACCTAAACTTTTGTATACGACTGTATCAGTGATGAGCCTTTAGCAATCCGAATTCCATTCACTCTGAAACTATCACAGTGCATACAACAATATATGCAGCATTCTACTTCTTTTATATGGTGATAGACAACGTGGTAGCATAAAGAAAGCTCCAATCTCACATGCTATGAATATGCACACATTGTAACCACTCTGAGGTGAACTTTAATGAGCTAAAATGAACATAGCTAAAGTCTGTGAACATATTACTGATGATATATTAGGTTTGATAGGCTTCACTTTCCTTAACTCCTCTTATGTTGGACAGCTTCACTTTCGCTCAGATTATAACTAACTAACAAATCCTGCTTTGTGCAATCGTTTATTTTAACTTTGCTCTTTAGTTGTGTTTACCTCTGGTTGGGCCCTCAGGTCTTTGGTCCAGTTGGTGATGAGCTTTTTTGCACTTTCTATATCCTGCTCACTGGTCAGAGCCAACTCCTTCCAGTCACTCTTCTCCGGCCAGCCATCAGTCTGCATCGGCCTTTTCTGCCAGGAGCACATTTTTAACATTTAATTCAATTCACAGCGCTTTATTTCATTCTTACATCTATACTGCACTGTCCCTTAGTCTAAGCTCATGTGCTTAAACTGATAATATAAACGATCAGATATCATAAGATAGATACAGTATACAAAATAATATACAAAATAGTAGAATACAGAATACTTATTTGAGAAATAATACAGAGTCTAAATGGCCACTTTTCTATGACAGAAAGGCACCAGCACTGTAGACAGATGTGAATACACTGCGCATTTGAAGTACTCGACCTTGCTCTCCAGCATGGAGGCCCACTCCAGTATGAAAGCCCTGCAGGTGAGGGTGGGCCAGACGTCCTCACCGCTGGAGATGTTCTCCAGCACCTCAGACCTCTGCATCCAACCAGACACAGGATAATATTCATTAGTATTCAAGCTAGTTTTTCAGCAGAGTCATCTTTATTCTAAGTCACATTTTATGCTTGGCTGTATGCAAAAGTGTGAACACCCCTGGTAAACGTACATGTTCTGTTGATTTTCTAAGTGAAATTTTTAGCATAATTTCAATTTTTTTTGCTGAGTTTAACAATTAAAATCTAAAATGTGCTGCAACTTTTGCACAGGCCACAATTTATGTTTTTTTCCCAATATGTTAAATTACGCCAACAAACCATGATGGTGCAGAACTGTGTTCTCAGTAGAGAACATGTGCTAATTTTGACTTAAGCAACAAAACATAATTTCACTGGGGTGCCAAAACTTTTGCGACTGTATGTTGTGCCAAAAGTTGTATGTAGATCAATGGTCTGCATAGTATTTTTACAACAAGCACAACCTCAACCTCTTTTCATCTGGAAAGCTAAAGCCTTTTTTCTGTTAATCAAAATCGTCTTTATAGCCTATACGTTTAATCTAATGTTGCATTTTGAATGTTTGTAGTGTACTACAAGTATTTGTGTGTTCAACTGTTGAACATAGCATTTTTATTAGCATACACTGCTAAAGTTTTTAAGCCTACATCATCATGATCTTTTCTTCTTTTGGAGGGGGGTACTCAATGTACTCCTCAATTTTGCTGAAGCCAATTTCACCCACTGGATAGATCTCCCCTTATCACATGATGCTACCAAGCTGTGAGAATGAAGAGTAGCACATACTTCCCCTGAGATTCGTGGAGCCAGCCACCACATAAGATCACTATTATTATTGTAGCTGTGTTGCTTTATGGTTATCAATCAGTTAAGGCCACTATAGCTAACTAGGCCAACTTACCATGTTACCATAACATTAGCAACACGTAAGATTAAGAATTTTTGAAAATTATAGAAAAGAAAAGTAACGACACATAAAAGGATTCTGGGTCCGGATTCAAGAAAGTATCTAAAGAAAGAAAATCTTCTTAAATGTGGGTTTTTTCTTAACTTCATTCTAAAGAAAAAAAAATACAAAAAAAGTTATTCTTAACTTCTTAAGAGTTCTTCTATTTTTTTCTTAAAAATAATTCCAAGAACAGGCGGTACTCTTGAAAACATCATGTTCTTAACCTTATGATCACATTTGTCCTAGGCCCTATGAGTTGACAAGGTCAGCATCTAAATCTATTAAACACAGACGCTGTCTCTGCTGTTCCTGCCCATCCTTATCTCTTGCTTTCCACCATCACCCCACAGTTATCGTATTTTCTGAGGAGGATTTTTTCCTGTTGGCTGTGTCTTAAAAACCTTTGCAATTTTTTTTTAAAGAAAGCTTTCACGAATCTGGCCCCTGCTCTATTTCTGGGTCACTGTTCGAAGTGAAGCAAATTTGAGACGTTGACCATGTTAAGGCCGCTGTACAAAACTATCACGTTCTCTTCCACTGAAGTGTTCGAATGACTCTCAGGTGGACTTGATCTACTCATCAAAGGCTTTTGCACAAACTAGTGGGGCTCAAGTGAACGCTGTCAATAAAGTAAAAGGGGGGCATATCAGTCACTAAGAAATTCTGAAAGACGTTTAAATTTCATTTCAGTTTTATTTCATTCTACTTTTCATTCCAATTATGTTGATGATTCAATAGTGGTGTCAGATGTTTGGACACTTTTTGGACACTGTATAGAAGTACCAACTAAATATTTGTTCATCTTTATAAAAATGTAATTTAATTAATTTTTTTTCATACAAACTTTGTAAAAAAAAACATACAAACACACGTACTTGCAGACCACTGTTTTAGATTACACACCATTTATTATGAATCTACCTGACACACTCTGCTGAGGTCCTTGGCCAGGTTCGCAATGAACTGCTGGCTCTCATCCAGAGGCTCTCTCTTCTCATTCTTCGCCTTCTTGTGAGATTCCTGTTCACATAGATTCAACACGTTTGAAGGTAAAATAAACGGAGTAACTGTGAAAAAATCCAAGCTACGCAGTGTTTAGCAGCAGTGAGAGATTTATTCTGGGAGGGCAGACAGTGTGGACAGTTAAGGTTACTCTGTAAGACTATGAAGGGAAAAAAACAAGGACAAAGCTGCTAAGCCTTGTCTTAATGCATGTCACGCTCGTCCTTTTTCTCTCCGCCTTTCCTATTATTCAGCCCCCCAAAAACTCCTAGCCTGATTCACAGCTATTGAACTGGGTTACCACGAAGACCACCCAAAACAGCAATTAATCAAACTAAAAAACAAATCGGAATGGCAACAGCTCAGTCTTACGCCAGCAATGACGTATAAGCCCCAGCCATGCCTCACTGCGGAGGCTTTTGTGGTGCACCGTGGCTGAATCCCCTCACTCGCAAAACATCTCTGACCTAGTTGCATTACTTTAACCTAGTTTGAAACACAGTGCAGAAACACCTTAAGACAGGCACCTTAAGTTTGACGGTGATGTTCTTGGCGGGCTCGATGAGGAACTGAAGACATTGCATCATCTTGGCTGGTCTGCAGTGAAATCCTCTAAAAGAAATACATCACATATTAAAAACTCATCTGCATGACGATGTGAATGAGGTGATAAATTCTATACAGTATGTATAGCACAGTGTAGTGCAGTCACTATCAATAATATTAATCATAGGGCAAACTATCACTACTTTGGAGATTAATCAACTAATAACCAAACAAAGACCGAACAAAAATAGACCTAACTGAATAATAACAAACCATGCATCCTTTTAAAGATTTAAAGGTGCCACTATGTGAAAAATAAATAAATAAATAAAAACACTATGTGGCAAAAAAAATGCATATAATGAACATGTCTATATATATATATATATATATATATATAATGTAATTCTGTCACTTATATTGATACAAAGCAGAACTGTGAAGCAGACAAATAAACATTCCAAAAGACTCCAGCCATGTATTTACAACATAAACAGACAACATTCAAAACAAGTTTTAGCCTTAAATATTAAGGCTTATTTACATATTTAACCAACTATTAAACTATTATAACATTATCTAGAGTAATTTACAATGTCAGAGAGTGTAATGTAAGGAACACTGCCTGGAGGATCAAACCTCATTCATGTTATCTACTTTACTACCAGACTGCACCTAATAATAGCTCCACAGAAACCAGAACAGCACTATCTCTTGAATTAAAACTAAAAAGCATCTATACTAGGTCTGGGCAATATGACAATTATCATGATAAATGACATCACAATATGCCACAATAAGCTTTTCTGAGCATATCATGCTTGTTTGATTACAAAAAGAGCATAAATAGTCCTGTTTTATGGGATTTAGTATAGCATAGTATGTAAAACATTAAATATAAATAATTGTATTCATATTTTTCAAGTATTATTTTTAAATGTGGCACTATTTTGTCTTTTCCAAATTATCAGAAACCAGAATGATAAATATTAATATGTGATGAAGTATCATGATTTTACATTGGAGATATCATCCACCTGCAATTAGTAGTAATCTATTAGTCTAACAATTGGCTTAATACATTCTGAAATATTCACAATTAAACAATAAGTATTGATACATGGGACTTCATGTATCAAAAACTATTATACTGTATTGATTGTATCTCCTGTCCCTGGTACATACAGTATGGACACGTCTCCTCATGTTTTGATACAATGACATGTCCATGGGGACACTTATGTCAACTGAAAAAGTGGGTCATTACTGGAGGGGGTTGGACTGCTTTCAAAACAGTCTTAGCTCAATCATTAAACACAAAACACACCTGCAATGCATGACTTCCTCTCAGAACCAAAACAATCATATGAAAATGATTAAAGGTCAACTAGTGCTTGTCCTTGACCTAAATAGGACAAATAAATTTAATGAGTCTTAGCTTTTAATACTTATTAGGCTTGTGAAAACTAAATTTGTTGTGCATTGGCATAATATATATATATATATATATATATATATATATATATATATATATATATATATATATATATATATATTTATCAAGTGGCAACCATGTGGATATGAAGGAGAAATACATAGACTCTCTTGGCTTTATTGCATTACCTTGCAGGCTTAGAAAAAAGATGTAACAAATAAGAAATAACAATATGTATCATTATCATGATACATTACATCACACTATTTCAAAATACGCTATTTTGAGCATACAGTGGTTATCATCAGTGCTGAAAAGCACATCCCCACTGAAGGTTTCTTTACAAACAGAGTATAATTAGACCTTTTTAATTAGATTTAGTGCAGTGTGCCATGTGTAATGGTGAACACGAATAACTGGATTCATAGTTTCACTACTTTTCCTGTTCAAACTTAACAGATGTCAGCCAAATAAATACTGTGACGTATGTACTGTGAAAACTTCTATCGCCCAGCTCTAATTACATACAAACTTTCCGTCATTCGTGCATATTTAACAGAAGACAGCTTTAACTTCTTTAACCTGCAACTGAGTTCATCCATTGCTATAAAGCACTATTTAATCAATGGCCCAATCATGTACAGTCATGCAGGTCTATGTCTTTAGGCCTTTAAGGTCATTGTAATTTGCTGTGCACACCAGCGAAAAGAAAAGACGTGGAAAAAAGCCTGACGCAGAGACAGCACTGCAAAGCCTGCTGTCATGGTTTGGCAGCCAGCACGTGAGCTGAGCCAGCATGGCCCTCTGCGCAGGATTATCCCAGCAGGGCCTTATTAGAGGAACTTGCTGAGATGCAAGGCAATAATCTAAACAGGGGAGGAAATACATTTGTCACCTTCATACAACAACTCTGGCATGCATAATTGCCAGTATTTTCGAAGCCATCCCTTATTCTCCACTATGATATTCAATTAACCTGACTAACTTTAAAAACGCAATTACAAAATAATGTGAATGTGAATTTTGCTCTCTTTTTGTAAATTAATTTTTTTAAACTAAGCTGTAAAACAGCCTTTTTTTCTTTTTTATTACAGTTGTTCTGACATCAGGAAATTCAATGTATTTACATATATATATATATATATATATATATATATATATATATATATATATATATATGCCTAATGAATATCAGTTTAGCTCTGCCCTGTCACAGTGACGTTCTAAGGAGTGTTTCAGTCTGGCTGATATTTGAATGAAGCACAGTACAGCAGAACCAGTCATAATACAGTAACACAAACAGGCTGTTTATTTCTAAGGGATAGGTTGAGAATGTTTTTAGCACATAAACCCACACAAATGACATAACTGGACCTCAAGGGGGAAAATGCAATGCAAAAAAAAATTAAGGATTTAAAATACTCCAGGCCTGAGTCACAATGCACTAATGCCATGGTTTTATGCATTATAAATGATTCTATTCTATCACACGACTGATGAAGGAAATTAAAGAACATGTAACTGAAAATACACAGCTCCCTGAGGCCAATGTCATTGTTGCAGTCAGCCAAAACCAAGGTTGTTTACTGACAATATCATATACAGTCAGGTATTTTAGGCTACCACTGAAATAGACATTAATGCCAGACTGTTTGTGCCCACTACCCCAACGCTGACCTAATTAAAGCAGTCTAAACTGGCATTACGCAGAGTCAACGATGCAGGACACATGACATTGCGGCACTGCACAGCATGTATATTGATGAGTCAGTGCCCTTGAACGACATTGCGACGTTGCAACGTCCACAGCCCTGCATGTCTATACAAACACATATATTTTTGCATGCAGTCTCGTGCACGCGCATGTAAACAGTGCCATGCCGCGCTGTCGTCACGTTTCTCGAAGACAGCAAAACGCTGCAGCAGAGTGACATTGAAAAGAACCCGCAGGAACATTTTTTCGCACAGGCTTAAGCATAAAATCGTTTTTTGTATTTAGTGACCTACCTGTGAAGCTGGTGTGGGTCCTGAGCTCTAAGCTTTGCGGAGACAGTAGGAGTTATAAGCGCTTGAACTGACAGTGAGTTGCAGCGAAGAGTCGCCCTTGTTTACATGCCGCTCCCCCTCCCTCATACGCGGATCATCCGGGTACTTTCAGATGTAACCGGCGCGTGGACACCCTGAGGTGCCATGATTGTTGTGGCTGGGTGAGTTAATGTGTTACACACAGCACAAATAAAACACAATACAACACAAATAAAATGGGCTGTAGCTTCTAGTTGTGAACCACCCGAGGGGCCCTACCAGATACATGTTTCTATACTGGTGAGTATAGATTGACTACCTTTACTACACAGTCACATTGATAATTCTAACATGAGCGCTGTAACGCCATGATTGTTGTGTTTGAAGGTGTGAACGTTAACATATTAGATTTCTTTTTGGGCTTTTTTCCTGTTCGGTATTCGTTTTTCCTGTTCCTTTTGCTCTGGTATCGGACGCCCTGAAAAGCAGTTTAGTAGGCCTGCTTATGATCTGAGATACTTTGGTGAAATCACTTATGAAAATTCATTGCAGGCCACAAAATATTTCTTCACCTTTATAGATTAAAGAGTTTAATATGGTGTGTAAACACTGTTTACGTTTCAAAAAAAGGACCTTTTATTCCTCGGTCCATATCCAACTATGGAGGCTAAACTGCTCCGCCCAATTAAGTTATAAGGAGTGTTTCGGCCTGGACTGTTTGAATGAGACACAGCCAATCAGTTATTTAGAAGGATTGTGTAATGGTCTATAAATCCAGGGCATAATTGAAATAATTTATAAACTTTAATAAGCTAAATATATACAAAACCATAATGTATAGGGTATCTTCTATTGGGAGGTGGCTGATCCAGTAGTGGACAGCGCAAAAGTACAGCTGTGAACAGAGTACAGTACATCTTGGAGACACATTGTGATCCAATCACTCAAACCACCTTTGGAGGTGGTGAGGGACATATATGACCAAATATTTACACTGTGAACACTAAAGCGTCTTGATCAGCTGCGTCATCACACCAGAGACGAAAGCAGCTCCTCCTCTACTGAAAGCGCCTCCTCTACTGTTTATTTGAAAACTATGTTATAGCAATCCATATGGTCTAAACATTTGCAACAGCCCTTTCATTTACATGATGGTACATTTTCTATCTAACAACAAACGCAGCGAGAGACTGATGCAGTAAATGTGGGTGGTACCCTTCCTCCAGTCATGAAATCTGATCACTGGAGGTGCATTTTAGACACATAGTGTGAATCACTGCACATCGCGCTGTCCACTTACCAAGTGTGAACAGGGCCTTAGAGGAAGAAGTGAGACTGCATCCCTGTCCCTCATGGCCACATGGTGAGCAGTTACAGATCCCATTGTTTTTGCATAAATGTGTCCCAAAATCTGAAAATCAGTGTGTAACCTTAGGAATTGTCACTACCGAAACACAGATTTTCTGCGATTAAGTAAACATCATTGTGTTGTAATATAAAAAATTATGATTTCGTATGTGTACATCTGTTCAAAGCTGTGTTTGCTAGTCATTTTTGAGGGTTCTTGAGTTCTGCTCAATATTAGCTAAAATTGTCACTACCAAAACAGTCCGTACCATAACATTTGGGATTTTTTTTAGTTTAGGATTAATAATTTGTTAGTGTGAAAATGGAATGTTTAATCATTTATTTTAATAAAATAAACATAATTAAGGCATGTGGTCACTCAAAGCAAAGGAAAAAGTGAACCTTGGGGGGATAAATAAGATACAAGTAAAATATAGTATATTTAAAGTATTTACATTACATCCACTTTATTACAGATACTTTCCACTTGCTGGTCTCTTTAAGGTCTTCATACTCTACAGGTCCACTATAGGTCACCCACCCTCTATCTCAGAGGTGTCAAACTCAACCACTAAAAGGCCCATATTAAAAAATCTCAACAATCCATGGGCCAGAGAAGAACTATATTTCATTTCATTTTTAAACATTTTGTTATTGTTTATTTACCATTGTTTATTCAACTTACGCAAAAACCTCAACATTAAAATATAGGCACTTGTGGTAGACCTTGAAATATTACATGAATACTTGAAATATTCAAAATTTTAAATGTCCCCAGAAGCTCTGTCTTTTAAACCTACCAATTTGCTTAACATAGACACCTGGCATTTTTTCTTTCTTGCAAGCATTTCTGAACTGCTAAGCTGACGTTAGGTGTTTATATTGGCTGAACTGCAGTTAGTTGGTTAGTTTGATGATATGACAGGTGTGGAACTGTGTAGAATTGTATAAAACTAAAGTGTAACCACTGTCCCATAGATTGTTGTTAGGGGAGGAGAGTCGGATCGCACATTATGTTGCAGTGCATGTTGTGGAATGTAGTTCAGTACCCTGTGAAACAAGCTAATATTAATATAAAATTAAAGTACTTTTGCAGGTCGGATAGGCCTTGTGTTTGACACATGGGCTCAATCCCATCCATCGTAGGTCAGTTTTAGCATAAGACACTGCTTATCCACCTTTATTCCTGCACCCCATGATTCTTTGATTGGCGAAGCACAAACACTATACATATGTTAAAGACTATGTTTGTGTTCAATATGTTAAAGGCTAGTAGCATCCTAACATGATAGAAATGTGGGGAATAAATAAAAATGTGAATAATCTTTATTGTCGGGATGCTTGAATGCTTGTGAGCTGATTTGTGTAGTTGATCATTTGGAAATGGAAACCTGAACCTGCGTGAGAGAAACACTTTAGTCAGAGGATTCTATTTATAGCCTATACAACTATCTCACACAAATAAAGTAATTTTATTTCAACTTTTTAATTTTGTTTATCCTGTCAGGTACAGGCATAAACCACAAAACAATGCTATGACGTATCAGCATTTAATGTAAAAATCTGTTAATTCTCTTAAGTCTAGTTTAAATAAAGACATTTTAAGCTTGTAACAGGATGCAAGTAACATATTCTTTACTTCGTATGTCTCAGTTTTCAAGTAACTCCTTCTGTGAAGACTTGAACTTAAGGTCATTATTATAGCATTAGCCTGTGAGCTGGATAGCTTTCTGCTTATCTGCACAGCCTTTTCTAGTGAGGCCAGTTATATCTAGTTAGAAAGAATATAATGTACAAACCAGAGAGTCTGTAGCAGCAACTTGTGATGAACTGGCAGTTCTTCTGGTTGGATTTTATAGGCACAGATATCAACATTAACAACCGGGCTTTTTCAAGCAGTGATTATGAAGCCACATTTATGCTTTGAAGCTCTGCGCTTTCTTAAATGATTATGCTTGTAATTCTGCTGTTCTTGCCATACTATTAGCTTCACTCAGCTGTATTGACAGAAACACCTCAGAGACATTTAATGGGACACAAATGTCTCTATAGCAGAAACCACACTCACATGGCACAGCTGGCAACTTGTCACCAATTTTTTCATTAGGCACAAAGGCATAAAGAAAGGTTGGACAGTGACCATGTGAAAATAGATTGACTGTTTTTGGTACATAAAACCACACATGTTATAAATCATCAGGGAAAATCAGGAAAATCATCAGGGACCTCAGGGAAAAATGTGCAAGATTAATGTAGGATATGGGATATAATGGGATGTAGTGTACATAGGATACAATGTAGGATGAAGGTGATAAGAGCATAAAGTGAGATGAAATCTTATTAACAAATGATTCCAAATATCAGTGCATAGAATGGGAGCTTTCTGTAAGCTACTGTATTTCTTATCACTGTATAAAAGATGCAGTCTTCTTTTAATTTAGTTTGATTGCTCAGAGCAATTTGGATTGGTAAGCGTTGATAACGAAAGCCAAAAGTATAATTTGTGAGACAAACTAAACAAAAATCTAAAAAAAATAAAAATAAAAAACATTTTCGGTTTTGTTAAGTAAAGATCTTTACACACCGAATAAATTCAGCAACACCCCTGCATTAGAACTTTAATCAACTTCCTGTCTTCAGTTGTTTGACAGATCATCCAATTCTCCTAATCTAAAGCAGCCATTATTTTTCTGTTCAACCGCTCTTAAGCGTCTCATTCTGGACACCAAATGAGATGTCAGTGATGAGTAGGCTCTCCCCATGGTTCCTCATTTTAATGGGCTCTGTTTTAGAAGATCAATGACCTGAGCTGTAATGGCACATTGAGGAGGAAGGTTTAGAAGATTACCGAACTGCTACGTTCCCTGTGTCTTCATTTGGGTCAGAGTGACACATGTCGTTCACACAGCAGTGTCCCTCTCCCTGAGGCCTAACTCCAGCTGTGCTCTTCAGTGGAGGATGCTTATGGCCCTTTACGGGTCGAGTCTCATGAGGACGCCAACCATATAGCTGGACAATGAAGGCTTTAAGAGCATTGCTTGAAATGAGCCTCAGTGCTGAAGAGCTGATTTTGAGGGCAGGTAGCCTGAGTGAAATAAGGGATAATCCGCTATGACGAGGGTCAGTGCTTCCGCACATGCCCGCTAGGAGTCGTGGTTGGACAAATGTTGACTCAGCAGCTTCCTGCCTGTGAAGACATCTTCAGACAGGCTTTAGGGAGCTTAACTCCACTCAAGAGAAAGAATGAGTCAGTAAAGGAGTGAGTACCAGACCCAAAGATGTTTTATCACATTTTGTAACACAAAGCATCTCTCAACAGAACACTGCAGCTGCAGTCACTATTGCTATATGGACCATTCTACTGAATAAGTTCAAACTGCAGTCCCACAGTTACATATTTATCATTATTATTTCTTCACTTTTTTAAATCAAAGAGAGAATATGGTATGTAAACACTGTTGAAGGTTCAAAATAGACCTTTTATTCCTCAGTCCATATCCACCTATGGAGATTAAGCTGCTTCGCCCATTCAAGTTATAAGGAGAGTTTTGGCCTGGACTGATTGTTTGAGACGCAGCCCATCAGATATTTACCAGAATTATGTTATGAGCTATTTAAACCTAAGGCATTTATAGAGATAGTAATAAGCTAAATATATACAACATCATTATTTATAGGGTACTTTCTATTGGCAGGTGGCTCTCCCAATCCCTAACCCCTAAATTTTAACTTACATTTTTTTCCAATGTTTGTTTTTTAAGATAATTTTTTATTTATTTTAAAGTTTATTTGAAATATTTAGATTTATCATGAGCTTAATTTTTAAATAAAAAAACTTGCTATCCCACGTTTTCATGTCACTACCGAAACTCAATGAATTTTGGTTCATAGGCAAAGACTTATTTTAGCCACAGCCCTGCATTTTAAGAGCAGGAAGTGAGACTGCATCCCTGTCATGGCCCCATGGTGAGCAGTTAGATCTCAGTGTGTAACATTAAGAACTGTCACTATGGATGCATATTTTCTGCAATGAAACTTTTTTGTAAAAAATGAAATGAAATATATTGTGATTTGTCTATGCAGCTGATTTGACTGTGTTTGCTAGTCACTAAAATAATGGCTCGTCAGATCAACCTAAAAAAATGTCATGATGCAACAAGCAATTGAACTAGTTTTATTCAACTCAAAAAATACTTTAATTGAAAGAATTATTCAAAGTATTTATTTAGATTGAATAAAACTAGTTATTTACTTTTTACCACATTAAGTAAGTTTTTTTTAGGTTTAGGTTTTAGGCATTTTTTCACTCTATGTACAGGCTAGTGTTTTCTGAGTTATGCTCAAAATTAGCTAAAATTGTCACTACCGAAACATTTGCTAAAGTTTTAGTAGTGTTATGATTGTTTTGGTAGTGACAACATGGCATGTTCAATCATTTGTTTTCATAAAATCAACTTAAGTAAAGCATAGGGTCACTCAAAACAAAAGCATTTTAGTCAGTTAAAAGTCCAAAATGTGTTTTGAACTCTATGAACCAGTTCAGTAGAATTATCCATACACAGCGACTGCGAAGTGCCTTGCAATATATCAAAGTCAATCTGATAAATAAACAAATCGTAAATCTCTGAAAATAAAAACTGACCTTTTTTTTTACCTTGTTACATCATGGCCATGGTCATATTAAGCACAAATCATCACATCATTTACAAGACATAATTATTTTTTCCTGCAATCTTCCATCAAAATGTAAAAAAAAACCATAGACTGTGGCAAGTGCAAAAGTCATGGCACATTTTATATTTCATGTTTTATGTTAAACTAAATTGTGCACAAAATTTTTCAGATGAATGTCATATTTAAGTATGTTCCCTGTAGAGAATGTGTTAACTTATTTTTACTTAGTAAATCAACAAAACATTTAATTTGACCAGGGTTGTTGAATTTTTTGCATGCAGCAGTATATGTGCAGTGATTTTTATTGAGTGTTTCATATACGGCATTGCACTAAATCTAATTAAACAGAAGTAATTAGGCTTTATTTGTAATAAAACATTTTGATTCTCAGTGTCTTTATAGTCCGGACAATATCCATGATATGCTCAGAAAGTTACACATTTGCTTTAATTTGAATAGTGACCTAAAATTAGTGAAGAATCTTTCATATTTCTTCTTCATTTTATCCATCATTACTTTCCTTTGTTTTGCAGTTTTCAAAATTCTAAAGCTTTCTGTTGCTTATTTTCAGATTTAAATGAAAAAAAAAACAAGATTTTCAATGTGGTCTCAGACTTTTGGACCCCACTATAATGTGACGTAATTTAAGTTCCTCTTCCCCCCACCTCTTCTTTCATCAGGTGAAAACTCTGAAATATGATTCAGGAAAATGTGGTATGATTTTCCAATTCACATTGACTCGAAAACACCTTAAGTAGTTAAAGATTGATCTGCATTTTTTCATAAAAATGATTCATGTTTGTTGGATCATGTGAAATTTTTTATGTACCTAAACACCAACAGAAACTAATCTGAATCATTTGTCTTTGGTTGCTGACAGCACATAATTACTTAGTCATGATTCCAGAGGGCTCATCTGCATTCATGCATATTGTAGACTAAGCTGATAAGCTATATCAGCTATATCAGTACTATAAATGCCAGTATTCCAATTATGATTTACTAAACCAGTATATTCTGCAGGCCTACACCCCAAACATACTGCACTATATTAACTCTCATTGGGACATATGCTGGATGTAGTTAAATAATAGAAATATGCTTGTACAAGCCATTACTTCTTTCTCTTGTCATTGATTAGGAGGCTTTCAAATTCTGTCCCAACTGTAAAAAGGGTGCAGGCAGTCAAAGTCTACCACTGGCTCTACCATGTCTGCCTGTGAATTCAAATTAGTCGAAAATGGGTCTTTGCAAATGAGGCACTGTTTGCGAATGCAAAGCAAACCAGTGTTCCAAACAGCGAGTGCACTGGTCAGGTCAACAAAAAATCATGTGTCTATACACCAAAAGACACGTAGAAGACAAGTAGAAGATTTGATAGGATGGCCTTAAAGGAGTTCTCCAGTGTTTTTAAACTAATCTGTTTCTGCTGGATCTGTAGCAAATTATCATTGTCCATTATCACTGGCAATACCTTTGAACTGTTTTTCTGAAGTTAGTAAAAGAACAGAAGATCTGCTGATTCAAAACATATTTGTAATAGAAGCTAACGGGCAGGTGCTGAAGAAAGTGTTTTAAGTCATCAGGTTTTCTGTTTATTACTAAGTAGTAGTGGGCAATACACTGGTTCATCTGGTATATTGGTTGAAAGACTTCTAAAGTTTTGAGTTTTGTCATAACCTTTAAACCGGTATGCTACAAATAAGTGCAGATAATGCAACATACAAACACAAGCTTAGCCTGTTTAGCTGACTGGGGTTAGAGACATTTCAGTCACTTTTCACTGAAAAAGGATGGTGTCAATGAAGCAGACATTACAGCTGGTCTCGTCAAAGTTAGCCTTTAGCCTAGTATGGACACTGGCCCATTTGCCTTGCTGTTGTGTCCTCTCGAACTGCCTGCAGCATCGCCTCCCTCAGTCAGCTGCATCAAAGGGTGGATCTGTAATCATTTATCCTCATGTAACTTTTCTTGCCTCCTTCCATGCGTCTTACCGCTGCCCTCTGAGGAAACAAGGAAAAGATGCAAGATGCAAGGATGGAGGAATCCATGCCAAATGTGTTTGCCAAGTGAGACGTCCTTCACGTCCTTTGCTCAGTCATCATTTTCACAGATCTGCCGATACCCACATCAACAATTTAATTAACTTTCATCATCCTTTGGTAATGTCCTGTTGACTTTAATCATCTAATGACAACAAGAGAAGCAGAAATAGTTTGCATCATTTGGCTCAAATAGTGTATCTCCCCAACAATGAAGGGCTTTTCCTGCCTGTGGCTTTACCAGCAAGCCAACTGGCTCTTTTATTGAAAGGAGGGACTTTCCCTGTTTATTCAATTAGGGAAGTGTCTCCTCTTCCTTTATAATGTCTATGGCAGCATTGGACAATGCCGTGTTTTTTGGGCCTGGTCCTCACATCAAGTTGAGAATCCCACAGCTTAGCTGCAACCGATAACATGAATGACTTCACATATTTACCAAATTCCAATAGTGTGTAATAGACAGATTTAATAGATTTGTAGATTTCTTGGCTCAGACAAGCTGCCACGTGTTTTGGTATACATGCCATTTATCTATATATGACTTATGTTTTTCTGTTGATATATAATTTATATATATATATATATATATATATATATATATATATATATATATATATATATATATTGTTCAGCTTTGTTTTTATTAAAAAATACATTTATTTTAGTTGTTAAATATGTTCTTATTAACTGAAGGAACATCTCAGAATAGTAAGCCGCGATTAACCCACAAAAATAGGTAACTACAGCATCTAAGATGGTTTTATTTGATGACACATACCAAAACCATTAAAAAAAAAAAGTTCTACTTTTTGGCCCTATTGCCCACTAGTGTTGGTAAGTATAGGAAAATGATTGTCTGTAATAATAAACCATATGTTACAGATACAACAAATTGGCTTGATAATGGCTGAAGTGTTTGTTTAACCTGAGCATAATTCACAGTGAACGCATTCTTGATTTATTTATGCAAATTATTACAAGTTGTCTCTTCCTGAAGACTTGTAGTTCATATTCAAAAGCACACCCAGTAACACACACAGTAAGCGTGAGTCATTATTGCTGAAGCGGAAAAACTTAAAATGAGGAAAAATGAACAACTAGCACTACCAGGAAAAAAAAAACATTTAGAAAAATGGATGAAAGGGCTGTTTCTATTTTTGGGAGGTCTATTATTGAACAAAATTTAAAATAATATAAAAAAGGAAAAAATTACACAAAATGCTCCTTTGGCAAGAGATTTCAGAATCCCTCTCCATTAGGCCACAAGTCTGTGCAAATCCCGGTGCAAGAGTTCCCTGAGATTACATGGTAATTCAGTCTGTTTAGTCACATATGTCAAGTCTTTTAAAAGTCTGTCTTCAATTGGACATTTTATTTTTGATTATAGTGCAGCAGTTCCAAGATTAGGATGTACACTATATGTCCAAAAGTCTGAAGACCCCTGCTCATCTTATGTTTCTTCTGAAATCATGATATTAATAGACAGTTTTCCTCTCTTTGCTGCAGTAACAGCCTCTACTCTTCTTGGAAGACTTTACACTATATGTTGGAACATTGCTGTAAGGATATGATTGCATTCAGCCTCAAGAGCATTCATAAGGTGAGATACTGTTGTTGGATGATTAGTTCTGGATCACAAACGTCACCCTAACTCATCCCAACACATCCCGGCTCCATCACTCCAGAGAAGTTCCACTGTTCCACAGCCCAATGCTGGGGCGCTTTATACCCCCTCTAGCCAAAGCATGGCATTGGGCATGGTGGCCTTAGCTCATGTGTAGCTGCTCTGTAGTGTCCTATTATATTGTACATGCTTTTCCATAGAGCTTGAACTCTTGTCTCAGCAATTGGTGCACCTCAAATTCACCACTTCAAAGAGGTGTCTGGATACTTTTGGACAAATAGTGTATGTTATATTTGTTGTCACTGTCTTTTTATTGTCACGTGCACACTGTAGCAAATTCCTCAATTGAGTTGATACGGCAATAAATATTGAATTTTGCAGTTGTCTTTTGCTCCTCACACAGCCTCTTTGTGATGTAGGTAAAGGGTTCTAAGCAAAAGGCTGCAGTCAAATCCTCTGTTTTTCCTGTCAACGTGTGAAGAGTCATTGATAAACAAAGTTCCAGTCTGTAGGATTTGCTTCAAACAACCCAGACTTTTAGGATGTGCTTCACATTCCCAGCTTCTGAGTCAGGTAATGCCTAAATACTGGCAGCAGTCTCATTATAGCTTGGTGTTTGCATTACGCCTTTTGGCCTTGAGCACCACCAGCCTGGTTAAATATTGTCTTTGAGAGACAAAGAAAACACCAGAGCAGTGGGTCAGGTTGGAAATTGTCATTTAAACCACCAATAGCACTTCCCTCAGCAAGCTGTGGTGACCTCAGATCAGCGTCCTTCTTCTGAACTCACTGGAAACCCTTATGTTAATCTGGTTGAGCTTGAGTACCAGGAGAGCTTGTATTTTGAGGTAGAGTCTCATACTGAGGCAAGGCATCCATAGGTTGAGGGTTTATGACCTGAGCATCTGGTGTTATCGCTGATGACATGGTGTCAAACGGAACCTCCAGGGACTGAACTGACTGCCGAATGCTTTCTTCATACGTGGGAGGTGGCTGAAGTGACAAACAGAGAAGAAGTCAATCATAATCAAATACAATTCATGAAAGACACCCAATAAATGCCATTTTCCCATTTAGATTTATTGCCTTACTTCAGACACTTCACTGGGACTTGCATCTTGGCAAGGCTTTCATGAATTATTCATAAGATTATGTATATTAGTCTAAGTTGGGCAGGTTTCTAATATTGCTGCTGCCATTTTAGCTTGTGCAAGTATTTACATAGCAAATTTGCCAGAGTAGCTACAGTTCTCCGGGTCACTACTTGGCTCGTGTCTCATCTTGTATCTCCTCTCTCTTTCTCTCTCTCCCTCTTCATTGGGAGATATATATGTTTATCTTTTAATACCTTCAAGCTTAGGGCCCCATGCTTTATAGCAAACCTTGAAAGAAGGCCATTTTAAAAGAATACCCAGAAGTTTTTTATCTAATCTCTAGCCACTGCATCTGTAGCATATCACTGTCCAAATAATAACGTGTATCTCAAAATGCTAACTTTATAGGAGAAGGCAAAACGTTCTTAACTTTTAATGGAAGTTAGAGTAAAGGGTGTTTTTTTTTTCAAGGAAGAGATACAAGGTTTTCGCACAACAGCGACAGTAAGTGAGTTTCGAGCGACTCTGTCTTATTACAAGGCTCAATATAGAGCCCTAAGCTCAAAGGCGTCTGAGCAAAAGGCTGTTATAACACATATGTAGTAAACGCCTATGGGCAGGTGCTGTTTTTTCCATTCTTTTACTAAGTACAGGAAACACAGCGGATTTGCCTTCCATGGTAAAGATGCTACAGATGAAGCAGACAGACATTAGGCCAAGAAACACAGAAGTATTCCTATAAATACATTGACTGGTCTTAGAACAGGTGAGGTAATCAGACTCGACCAATACCCCCCAGCGTGCAAGGGAGACATCCTGTGAGTGACGAGGTGAGGGGGCGGATGGGTCCACCCACTGACAGGGTCACGGAGAGGAAAGGAGGAGAAGAGAAAAGGACAATAAGCCACATTCTCCTCTGGTGTTTACTTTTCGGCAGGCTGGGCTTAATTGTGTTTGACAGGCCTTTTTTTCCCCATTAGTTCGTGAGCTCATGTGGAACTCCCAAGTCATACGGCGCGCCACAAAATCAACATCAAAGGGCAACAAAATGAACGGCCTGGGCGCCATGGCAACAGTGCAGGTGAAGGGCCAAAGCCTGAAGAGCCTCTGCTGCTCTGACGCGCTCATATTAGCGAAATTAGTGTGAGCAAAATTGAGGGTAATTCACCCAATGAAAATCTATTATCATTTACTCCTATTATAGAGCAGATGGAGCTGATAGCTGCAGGCCAGTGTGGGGACACAAACTCAAGTGATTCGATTATCATCGCTGACCTCGGAGGCCAACTGCACTTTTGCAAAACACTAAACTGGCTCGGTTACCATGGCAAAAGGAATTCACCTCAGTCGTCATAGGTCCGTGGAGGCCAAAGCGGTCGGCTATCATCATGTGGATCTGCCGCTGTCGGTCTTTCTTGCGCACGCTCTCATATGAGGGCAGGCGAGGCATCGGCGGCTCCAGGGACGGCAGCCGGTACGTGCTGGGCAGGCCAACGTAGAACAGCTGCCCTGACTGATGAACAGAGAGTCATGATTGGTGGATGAAGGATATTGACCAGCAGACCATAGAATCATAGCAAATGCAAAAGCATGAATGATTGCAATACTTGAGGAAGTGTACCCTTCGAACAGAACAAAAGCATGGTGTCTTTTTTAAATTATATTAATTATTTATCATATTAATTATTTGTCACTCATAGCTTGTTGAAGTAAGTGGGAAATTCTATTAAAAGTGCCTTCTATATTTTCCATCTATGCCACATTTCTGGTACTAGAAAAGACATTTAATTAAGTTTGAATTTGTTGGAAAGTTAATACTGTGTGTACAGTCTTGTTTTGCAGCAAGAAAAAATGTATATTTTTGCCATGTTATTTCTTGACATCAAAACAAACACAAAACCAGTGCAGACCCCAGCCTGTAAATCTAATTTATTACATTTCCAACAGTGTAATCAATAATATAATTACATAATTACATTTAAATAGTAAAGCAAAATGTCTAGGGCTGGTTTCTCAAACATGGACAAAGCCTAATCCATAATTGCAGTGGCAACAGTGCTACAATGTTTTCTATCGGTGTATGAAAGATGCACAAGGCTTCCTCTATTGTTAAATGTACTGTGTTTTTTTCTTGAGTTAGTGTGCAAGCTCAGACTGGTAAGAGATGATTATTAATTTGTTTTGGTAAATGCAGTCAGTCACAACTGATGTGTGACATATACTCCTGTCCATGTGTTGTCTTTTTCAGAAAAAAAGGTATTTGTGAAACAGACTAAATAAAACCTATACAGATTTTTGGCTTTGTTAGATCATGTTCTTTAAAAATATATATCACATTTTCTAGTAGAAGACTTAGGGCTATCAAAGCCAACACAACTAGACATACAAACAGTTTTTTTCTCCAGAGCTGTAGCGTTCCTTAACTGCAGTGAACACCTTGCACTTTAAACTTAAATTGTACCTAACAAACTTCTCTTACTGTATAACTCTATAACTCCTCTGTACTAGGCCTGTGTCAGTAACTTTTATTTTGGTAACTGTGTGGAAAGTAACAGCAGAAAACATTTAAACAAGGTTGGGGGGGTGTATTTCTTTGCTTTGCTTTACCCTGTAATTTTTTTGTTTTGTCCTGTAATTTTTCAGTCCCTTACACTGAGGCAGAAGCGGGAGAAAACAGTGAAACCATTTAAGTTTTTCACCATTTAAAAGAACATAATAAGTGCAAGTTAGTAAATGTTGTGGTTGTAGGATATTGTCATCTTTAATTTGACCACAAAACTGTAATTAATCTAGCAAGAGAGAACAACATTACGAATGTCACAAGCTTTACTGTCTGAGAACTTGTGGCCACTTAGATTAGCTTGCCTTCTTCTCTAATGCAATTTTACCTATGTGTTTTTCCAGAGGCTGAAGTCATTTTTCACTCTGAAACCTGACACTGTGGTGTGAAGACATCCTAAAAGCTACACCACAGCATACAGGGGTCTTTTTGTATAGCTATTATATCTGCCTAGATATCTAGAACAATCTCATTTATGTTAGGTACAATAAATGCGGTATTATTGTAGGATCTCTCATAACCCAATGTTTTAAAGTTCAGTAGCATTTACGTGTGCATATACTGCTGTCTTACTATGGTTTGCACAATGTAATCAATAGATGAACACTTTCTAAAACTGGTAGCAAATGAGTTTTCAACATCAACTGGTGTCTGTTACAATGGTAACTTGACAACGTCAACGGGGACAGGCCTACTCTATGCTATATACTTATTTGCTGTAAAAAATTACAAAAAATGCATCCATTTTTGCCTATGTCCATATCATACTGTATTATGCTATAAATTATAGTTATTATATGTCTCCTCAGACCCTGAACATATGTACATATTCACATATTTATTCTAGCTCCTTTTACAAAGGCTGTTCTACATTTACTCTCTTATTCTTTTTCTATTTACTTTGTTTTCTTTTGAATATCTGTTACAGTCTGTGTACTTGTCTGGTCTGTTGCATGTCATACATACGTGCTCTCACCAACACAAATCTGTATGTGCAACATACATGGCGAAGTAAAGGGATTCTGATTCTGACATCAAATAAATGCAAGAACAGCAATGAGACACCACATGATAAATAGAGAAGCAGATAAAATGGCAGACAATAACCACATTTCTGTGATGGCCTTATGGGTTTTATTTGGGTCTGGAAAAAATATCCCCTAAGGATGAAAAGAATATGCTGTAGTTACCTTACCTGAGTATTTGAGTTATCGAGCCTTGTGTTAGAAGGCATTTCAGCACAAGGTGAGCCCACCAGAGTCTGTCTGCTGCTGTAGTACTGGGAGGGAGCCTCCTGTAGAAAAGTTAAAGAACATTATTATACTTAAACATGAGCAAAACTTTAGACAAAATCGTGCTCTTTTACAGAAAAAATGACAACACAAACTACTAGCGCAATATTTAAAGGGCAACTAAATTTAAACGTCAGACAATGACAGGACATGGATATAAAATCATGTCCTCTTCTTTGTGTTGTCTCCCATTCCCATTACTACAATGTTAAACCCAGACCTTTGGCCGGTCATAAATTATTGGTGGCAATGACTTGGACCACCAAGCGACTTCCTCACAACAACCCACCCCCCTCCCAAACAAGATTAGGGCAGGCGGCCACTGTATGACGCCAGGGAATTCTTCTGGCTCAGCCGGACGCTAGGTGATTACCAAGCACCTAAATGGGGGTCTTTGTGTCCAGAGACAATGCAGTGTCTTACTGTGTCATCCAGGCCCCTAGTAACCAACCCCTGATACTAGTCTTTTAAAGGCCTTCACTGTGTTCCTCTCTTGTCTCTTCGGCAGGTACCACTTAACGAGCGCGCTCCATTTTACGGCCCCATATGTCACCTAAGTAGCAGTACAGCATGGTCGTTTGTCAGCTGATGTGACATGCAGATACACTGAGAATGAGTGTATGTGAGGTTAAGCTTTAGTAGCTTCTCTGAGATATCCTGCCATACTGGCTAAAAGTGGTGGTTTGGCCTAAAATTAAATGTACAGAATTTTCTAGTAGAGCTGCGGGTATTGGTAAAATTTAACATGATATTTTATATATCAAGAGAAATTGTGCACTACGTTTTTTTCATGTGACTGTAGCTTAAAATTAAACTAAAGGGAACCGTACACAGTATTGTGAACACTAAACAATCAGAAACCAGAAAGGATGTTTACCACTTATGTACTTTTCATGTATTTTAAACTGTTCTACTAAAACAATCAGAAATACCCCACACACTATATCTAATGGCAGTTAACTAAAACTACAAATTAATATTGTTCTGTTAGACCAACTCCAAAACACTGATATAGTTTCCCCCCTTACCCCAAATGTAGTCAAACAGCCAAGACATGTTTGGTGTCTGAGGTCTGTTTCTTTCATTTTTCACTGGATCTACAAGGCTAACATAGCTTAGTAAAAGAAGCTTACAGCTGGCTATGTGGTTTCTGACACTTTACGACATACTGTTATCTATAAAAAAAATTATATTTTATTTTCATAAATAGCAGTATGTCATACAGTGTCAGAAACCACGTAAGCAAGTTTTAGCTGATCTACTACTTTTGGATTAAGAGGAAAATTATGTACATTTGATTTTTGGCCAAACATTCTCTGGATGATAATGTATAAAACACACATAACTCCCCATCACACACATATCCCAGCTTCAATGGTGACGTCACTCTCTGTGACGTGTTATGACCTTTCCCACCGCCCCTGCCAGCCAGGGCAGAGAGAGGCCCGTTTGGTAAAAGCAAGGTCAGGGGTCACCTTCCCTCACTGGTTCACACTTTCAACAGTCTTAGCTGTTGTGGAAAAAAAAAAAGAGAGACGTCCTTTTGTTTAGACCCCCCTGATTCAGGCAGTGTGAAAAAGCGCAAGCGTGTAAAATTAGGGCCAAAGTCGGGGGAGGACCTCTTCAGTGGTGTGTCTTTTTCAGTGCCTGACCTAAAAGTAAAGCTTTTGTCTGCTCAGACCTCCCCCCACCAACCACAGAAGGGTTCAGCTACCATTCATGAGAAAAGCCCCTAAGAAAAAGGGAAGGTATAAGTAAGTAAAAAACAAGTCAAGTAGAGTCTTCATGAGACACTTTGACAAAGGGCTATCATTCTAATAGGGTTTCTCTTTCAACTGCTTTAGCGTTTGTAGACTTTCAATAAAATTGCTTTGTGTACAATTAACTAGCAATGAAATTCACCGGAAATCAAACTCTTTTGTCTACAGTGTATGGCTTCATCAACTAAAAATGCTCTCAACAGGGCCTGACCGGTATGAAAATTTTGTGACTGATACTGATTTCAAAAGGCTAAAAATTCCAGTAATATAATTGAAGGGTTCCTTTGCAAAATGCATGATAGACCACTTCTGAAAAAGTTCTTCTTTTTCATGATATACATTGTTGGCAGTGGGCTTTACACACACAAAAAAAATATCAGTGCTATATTATGCATTATACCTCCTATATTAGAGAAATAAAAATGTGTTTTCCATCATACATCAGCTGTTATACCTTTCAGAAACTCTTTATAGGCAAAATTATTACAAATGGATATAAAACATTTTGACATGAAACTCTTCAATTCTATATTCTATATTCTGTGATCGACTTGGCATTTTTGATGTTGTTCGATCAACAAAGAGGGAAAACATTAAATGAAATGGAGTATTATTAGCATCATGCTAGCCAGCTAACATTAGTGATGTGAGCGATAGCTTTAACATTCCTGAGGTATGTACCTTCTCAAAACAGCAAACTTTATGGTCAATGTTATTGATTTAATCAACTAACGGGACTGTATGCCGATCTAAGGCAAATCACTTTTAAAAATAGAGAAATGGTGTTTTATTACTGTTGTTGGTGTGAGCGGCCATGTTGATTTGATGTCATATGCTGAGCTTGGAGTTGAGAAGACCATTATAGGTTCAAATCTATCAGTTCAGCCTGTACAGACAAAAATGAAGTGAAGGAAATTGTCACAGTGTTGTGTTCACATTGTGGGCAAAAGTGATACACACCATTTTGGCACTGATTTGTATTTTGTGTCACAGTGTGAACAGCAAAAATCACACACAATCTGACAGTTTCAATTCTTATTTGGGCTACTTTTGTATGTGGTACCTAAATTTGATACATATGTCGCCTCTGTCTGAACAGTCAGAACAGAATTTATGTATCATGTATGTATCCAATTCCACATTCAGTTGTGTGCAGGTGGGAAAAGCAACCTTACAGCAACGTAATCAAAATGCCTGTTACTATGGTAACTCTTTACATAGTTCATTTTGGAGGCGAGCATGCATAGTGTAAACAAGTAAGCATAGCACTATCTAAAGAAAGTCAAACAACTATTCAAAATCAGGTTTACTTTAAGGGTACTTTGGAAAAAAAGAAGCAAAGGAGGAAAATGATCTTAACAAAGATCAGCTTATTTAGCCTGATATCTAACGCCACTTTAAAAACTGAGTTTGTTTCCATTTGCTAACGTTCGCTCTTAAACACAGAAATTTACCATATTTTACTGCTTCCGTATACTCCATTCAATGCGGCCGCAGAGTTGAGTGATTCAGGGAAAATATCTAATTACGATTTTAATTAATATTGCGATACCAATTTCAATGCAATCTATAAATTAAGCTTTACTTTTTCTTAAGATCTGCATTTTTTCAGGCTTGAATGCTGAATGTAGTGTAACATATGGCCTGTCATCAGCTCTGAATTATTAGGCTAAAATCTTCATTTAAAACTTAACACAACAGTAATGTAATGTAGGATATAATTCAAACTGCAGCTCTTGTCATTTGAACATTGCACCTTCAAATTGTGATTTTGATATAAAAATGATTCATTGTTCCACCCTATTTGAACTCGCTCAGGTGATTCTGACATCTCTCCATCTTAAACGAAGACAGACGACAGGGTGGAGTGTGAACTGTTCAGTCTAATGTTAGACATTGGCCACATTACATAAATAATATGAACAACAAAAATAATATGAACAAACAAAAAAAATAGGAGCACTGCTTACTGTGTGAATGTAGCCTTGCAAACTCTATAAACACTGGGATGTAAGAAACAGTCCAGCTTCTGATGGCTTTGTACTTGTAAGCCTTTCCATTCAACATAAACCATGCCACTATTTATCAGCAGGAATTCTGTCAATATTGATAAGTCTGCGAGACCTCAATGTTGTCTGATGAGCCTTAGTTCTCAATGGCCAAAACCTGATACTGTAACAACAATATTATTTTTTCTTTTCTGTTATAAGGAGAAAGTTGTTACAGTTGTAACCTTTCTTTCCTCCTAACATGTAACATGAATGTCGGCACATTGGTCCCTGAACCAAACATAGCAGCAGGTGGGCATGTGTTTCCCGTGAGTGAGAGAAAGGTTAGGAAAGTGTTGTCCCTGCCTTACCAAGATAAGCTCCAAGTTCCTCTAGGGGCCTGGCTAAGATTGACACTCAGCAGGAAGAGGAAGCTCTGAGGATGTTATTGCTAGAGTGTGGGCTGCAACACAGGGGACACTTCCTGTCCAACATCATTCAGGCTAAAAGCTGCCCTTTGATATTGATCTGGGGCAAGTTTCCTCTAAGCAAATTCTGAGTGTAAAGTTTATATATTAAATGACAGTATTGCTTTGAAACCATAACACTTTTACCAGGACCTGATTAAGGACCAAGACAGGTGCGAAATTAAGAGCATATTTGACTCATAAGGCCTTAATCCAAGTCAGGTGTAGACAGTTCTAGAGCACTATAAAATGTGCGACCCTTCAAACCCTTCAGGGTGTTGTGCTTACGCTCAACAGCCATGGGCTCATCTAAGCAGCTGACTACGGATCTAAAACTAAATAAATTGACTCTAATGAAGTAAGGGAAGACTACAAAAAATATCTGAACACTTTCTTCTTGTCTCTTCCTTTCACTGTCATTAAGAAATTGAAGTTATCAATCAGCTACTTGTTACTATGCTGTTCATGTTGTTTACAATGTTGCTTACAGACTCTATAATTGGTCTAAATCTTTTTTGATGATACATGCAGTTCAGAGTAGAAATACTGACCCGTTATATGCTCAGAAGAGCATATTGTGATGTAATTTATCTAATATATATCATCATATTACCTACCCCTAGAACAAACACTGAAAATGGTTGATCCATTATAAGCTGGTATAACCTAAGTTGCACTGTTAATTAAAACACAGTTCTGGACTGACCTATTCTATCCACATTGCTTGGGGGTCAGAAAGCCCACCTCTGCCAGACCCTCAGTGAGGGCGAGAGAGGTCAGTTGGAATACTCAGGGCTCTGCTCCTGCCAGCAGCGCACTGGGAGTTTCCCTCCTGCTCGGTTACGGATCTGATTACTGTGTAAAGTTTGCCAAGATACAGTATGCTGCTAGTCAATAGACCGGCGGGAACAATCAAGCTATTATGCCCTGCTTAGAGGAAGCTCTATTTGTGGAGATAACTCATGACGTTCACAGCCACAGCGTATCACTTTCACTTGCACATAGTTTCATTGTGTTTATTGGTGTAGTGGATGGTGTTTGCGGTAAGAGATAATAGCACAGCTGGATCAGTTCACAATTTGTGCTTCTGGCACTGTATGAAATAAAGTTTCCCGTTTTTCAGAGCCACACCAGCATACTGAGAAAATTTCAGCCTGTACTGCTTTTTGAATGACATAAAATAAAGAATATGCCTGTCCCAGTGACATATTCCTCATTATAACTGTGATTATTTAGGCTAATTGGAGTTATTTTCCACAGTTGTTAGCTTTCATAATCTATATAAAGATTATGAAACGTATATCTAAATATGTTTATGTCGCAGCAGAATGTGAATCGGGTGAGTCTTTATCACTTGGGTTGAAGCAAATGCATGTAAATAAAAGGAAGTAGAATGCGCATTTATTGAGACACATCATGAGTCTTATGAAAACAACAAAAGGTCTAACTTCTGACTGGTGCTATAACACCGTAGCCTCAGTAATGTTTGTTTATTTGAGTTCAACTTTGTCTATCATTAATTCGGAGCTACTAAATATTGACAGCTAGGAAACAAGAAGGATAATCAGCCAGTTTGGCCACTTTTGATCTGTACTTGTAATAGTTGCTCATACATTAATCCTGATTATTCATAATGCACTTAATTGGAAACTAAAATGTCATGACTGTGACAGGCCTAAAACAGAGCAGCCAATCAGAACTGAGATAATTTACACTTATCAGCCTTAAAGGGACAGTAAAAAAACAGCCTGTTTAAGTCTTAGGAATAAAGAGAGGTTGGAAAATAGTCATGCAAGTGTCTTCTTATATACAATACTACTAAACATTACAAATATTATAGCTAGACCTCAGGGACAAAATAAAATACAAGAAAAATGTAGGATATGGGCCCTTTCAAGGAATCCTCTAGCATTTTTTACATCAAATACCTGTCTGTTGTGTATATAACACAGTCGATTATGACAGACAATAACTTAAAATAAAAAAAAAACAAAACAGAAAACCCATTGACTCTAAAGTCACGTATAATAGAAGCTGATGTGCAGGTGCTTCAGAGAGTTTTCTGTGTATTTCTAAGCACAGGGAAACTACTGTCACATGGTAGTAAATCACACAGATCTGGCAGAGATTAGGTTGAAAACTGCTGTATTCCTTTAAGCCTTATTATTCAGTAACTATTATGAATTATTTGTTAACTACTACAAAACTAACACATAAGCGATTTAGTTAGGAGAATGAAGTATAGCAGTATGGATCCATGTACAGGCTCTTGCAGTATGAGGGGTTAAATTAGCTTTGCTGGATTTGACATATCTAATGCTCCCACTCCCTTATCTGAGCCAAAACACTTGGAACAGTTCCTAATAGCAGCTGTGGGTTAGAGCAGAGATATCTCCAAGAAAGCCAGATATCTCTAGGTTGGGTTCAAGCAGAGATATCTTCAAGAAAAAGGAAGCGTAATCTACACAATGTTTGTGCAGACCACCAAACAGGCTTCTGATAAAACTAACGGCAGAAGATGCTTCCTGTACAAAACAGTCAGAATAGGGCTGACCTGGCTTTTTCACAGCTGGCTAGCTTGTCATTCTCTCAACTGTTTGTGGTCGAAAGGGTGAGATTTGCAAGAGTGTGAATAAGAGGAGGCTCACCAAGTCTCCATGTGAGTTTCGATAAGCTCTGACTTTGCAGCACAGAGGGTCCTTCCGGAAGAGCAGAGACAGCAGCACAGCGATCACCACAAAAAACACCAGACAAGAAACTGCAGAGAAAAGAAAGATGATTCATCAACCAGACTGTTAACCACCATTCATGTTAGAAACCATTCCTCAGACATTTCGCCAACATAGTGAAGTCTGAGCTAATTAACTTGTGAAACAAAGATACCAAAAAAGCTCTGTTGGTTCCTTAAAGAATCCTCCAATAAATGGTTCTTTACAGAAGATGTATGAGTGTGAGGAACCTTTTAAAGCCCTCAAATGTCCAGAACCTAAAGGAAAGGTCCAAACTTTTATTACACATTTCTACAACTGAAAGAGGGATTGCAGAGATTTCTTCATTATTCCATCATTGATAATGAAGGTAACTCTTCTTGACAATGGGAATAGAAACCAGGGCTCATGATGTCAACACCGCAAATATATCCAATTTTATTTACTATACAAAGCAACCAGTGGACCTACATGTGTCTTCTCAGTTTTTCTATGTGATGCTGTTAATGGTAAAATCTGCAAAAAAATATATGTTTTTCTGGGGACTATTTTGCCTTATAACACCCAGCATGTACCTCTTCAGCATGAATGGATTCAAATTAAAACGTTTTAGTCCAAAACTTTAGCATAAAACTACCGTCTTAGGAATCCTGCAGGGTCCTTCTAATCATTTCATGTAGTAACTGTCTGTGAGGTTGCTTTTAGGGGTGTTAAACTCTTTGGACGTCTGGTTCCTATCACCACCACTGTGACATATTAATTCTCTTGAACAGAACATTTAACATCAAAACACTCTGAATTACATTTTAATGATTTAATTTAATTCATGCAGACAATAATGAAAAATCAATGCAATTCCCCTTTAGGAATAACACTGTTGTCCATGTTGTTACTCAGTAATAAGCCTTAGGTTATAATAAGCCTGTAATTTTAAGGGGCTAAAGTTAGAAACACATAATATGAAGGGTGTATAGCAATTTTGAGTACATTAAAGGCAAGAACCTTTTAGGAGCCTTTATTTTTAAGGTTATAGTAACGGCCTACATACAGATACTTAAATATCATTATGTTTTAATAAACACTGATGCTGGATAATATTGTAGGTTTTAGCTCTCATTCGTTTGATGAATGCTTTTTATTAAGATTCCATAAATGTATATTACTATCCCAACTGTATTTTCAAACACATATACATTTGTTGAAGTTTGAGCTGAAATGAGCAATCTACATAGATATTTTAATATCATGAAGTTTTAAAGAACACTGATAAGTATGGCAGACCTTGTTCATTTCATTAAGACACTTCCATACACTCATTTTACTAGATTATCTGAGTATCTGTGATAACAAGATTACAGCAGCATATCAGATTATAGTAGCATATATCATAAACGAATGAACCAAATCATTATTCATAATCATCATAACCATCGCAATAATTTAGTAAAGACAACCATGAGTTCTATATAAGAACCATTTCATGCTTAGTTCTTTGAATTGTTAAATGGTTCTTCAGATTGATGCAATATGTGCTGTATGTGGTTCTATATAGAACCTTTTGGAAAATGGTTCTATACAGCCCCAAGTAATGTTTTTCAATTGTGACAATGTCAAACTTTTAACAACAAAAGACCCCATTCTGGTGCTATACAGAACCATTTTCAGAAAGGTTTAATATATAACCATATACAGCACATTCTCCATCAATCTGAAGAACTATTTAAGCATGAAATGGTTATGTACAGAACTCGTAGTTCTAAATAGAAACATTCCCTTCATTAAAGAACCCTTCAGGAAATCTTTTCTAAGCGTGTACAATAAACTTACTACAGCCAAACATGTAAAGGCAAATGAAAGGACGTTCTGAAGCCCACTTTAAGGTTATGCTAAGCGGAGAAAAACAAACCCGAACAGACTTTACACTTACAGGACGCCACGATGATGGTGAGCTGGTCCGTTGGGAAAACCGTGGAGGAGACGGTTGGAGAAACGGCGGTGGACATCTCTGAGAAACGGCTACATAGGAGCTAAGCAGTGAAGTTTGACTTCCCTCTGTCCCGCTCCATCTCGGACTGAAGGGTGAGAGCCCTCCTCCTCCTCCTCCACCACCTCCACCTCTTCCTCCTCCTCCTCCTTCCGTGAAGAAAAAAGTTCTGAACGTCAGTCACGACTCTCTCGTTCCGTGAGCAGGAAAGCGTGAAGCAATGAGAGTAGTCTAGCCGATTGTGCTAACCGTGAAGAAAAGAAAACACAGAAAACGTAAAGGGGAACTCTACCAATTTTTCAGAATTTCTGCACAATTAAATTGTTAAGATGTAAACAAAGTCATTAGGAGAGGTTTGGTGTGAAATGCTCTGAGGTAGAGAAACTTGAAAGTCAGAATTGTTCACAGTGGTGGTGATAGGAAACAGACGTCTGAGGACTTTAACGTCTCTGAAAGCTCCCTTACAGAAAGGTATTACTTGAAATGGTTATGAATACATTGCCTGATGTCTGAGACATTGTTTTACAGTAGTCTATTTGGTCTAATACGCATTTTAATCCATTTGTTTTAATCAATTCATGGTGGAGGGATACATGAAGGCTGTTCTAAGGCAAAATAGTCCCCAAAGAAACATAATTTTTAATATTTGCCACTATTTTATCATCCTCAACATTACATGTAAAAACTCTGAAGACACCTGTAGGTTCAGAAGGTTTGTGTAGGTTCGCTGGTGGTTTTGAATAGTAAATAAACTGGCTACATCTGTGTTGTTGCCATCGGGAGCCCTGGTTCCTACCACCACTGTAGAGAAATCTGAGTCTCTACAATCAGTCACTTCATATCAAACTCTGAATGACTGTTTACATCTCAAGGACTGAATTATTCAGAAATTTTTAAAAAATGGTGGAATTCTCCTTTATAGTGGGAGAGCACCACAACCCGTTGCTGGTGCTTCTGAGAAAGCCATGGCATGGCATTCCACTAGCATTCACTGGTTGGCCTGGAGATGAGGGGCAACTTGGGGCTTTTTTTAAAAGTGGGCCGCCTGTTGGTAGTGAAATAAAAGTGCCTGCCTTCTGCACGCTGTCCATCTGTGCACGTTCAGCTGCTAAGAAACAGCTTGTTTTGTCTACCAGTTAACCAGCCTAGTCTGTTTGCTAGCCTCATCCTGACCAATGTCCACAGCTAAAGGTAGTTTATGACTGACTTGTGTCATAGGTATACACAGGGCTGGGTTTGAAGGGGGTAGGGAGGGTGTGAGGTGCAAGGGGCTGTCACCCCTTGGTCAAAAACATGACAGAAAACACCCCCTTTCCGACCCCTGTGCATTTATGTCATGATGTTGCTTAAAATTTCTACTTTTGGTATTTGAATTCTCTTCCTATTCTGGATACTCACCTTGCTGCCATGTATCAATGATGTATGCCCGAAAATAAAGGAAAAGTACATAAAAATCAACACAAAGTCACAATTGTCACAAGTGGTTTATACTCACATTCGGCTGCGGCTGCACCCAAAATGGGTTCTAATACCAGGGTATTAAAAAAAACTGTGGTTATTGGTGTCTAGGCAATCTAATTACATGATGAAGTGAGAGACATCTGAAAAGGCATTTTGTATATTGACCATTCTACTGAATTAGATCAAACTTCAGTCCCACAGTAAAAAAAAAAAAATACATTAGATATTTTCAAGGATTATGTTATAATCTATTTAAACCCAATGCATTGATAAAGATAGTATTAAGAAAAATATATATGAAGTCATCATTATAGGGTACTTTGTACTGGGTGGTTTGGGATGTCATCAGTGTGTAACATAACTGTCACTACTGAAACACACATTTTCTGCAATTAAGTAAACTTGGTTTGTGTTTTAATGAAAAATATTAGGATTTTATGTTATGCTAGTCATGTACTAGCTATAATTTTTAAGTTATGCTCAAAATTACCCAATACAGAAACATTTGCTAAAGTTTTGGTACTGTTATTATTGTTTTGGTAGTGATACAGTGGATTGTTCAATATATATCTATTAAATATGTAAAATGTATGTGTATACTTGCATCATCCCCCTAAGTTTTTTTTTTTTTTTTCGATTAGACCATTTACATGTCCTTCGTAATCTTTCCCACTAGAGCCAGGTACAGAATATGGTTAATAGCGTCAGCTATCCTCAGAGGTTCCTCCTCTTGTGTTCAAGTGGTCTAATGTAGAGTTTCACATAGATACCCCTGAAAATGAATGGTACCAGACATCTGCGAGAACTTAGCAGAAACAAATCACCAAAATATCTGTTTTCTTAGGCAGCTGAACTTTGCATTGAAACAGATAATGTCCAGCATCACATAGTTGAATGGAACTTCCTCTCCTATCTGCCTTCCTTGCACTGTAAAGAAAAAACTGTGCTCTTAAAAGTTATACCTTAAAAGGTTTGTCTTCAAATTAATTGAACTTCGTATAGAAATTCAAATAACACATCATTTTAAGGCAGCCCGCTAACTAACTTCTTAAAGTTTCAACCCCAGTTTTGTTTTGTTTGCTTGGGCTCTAGACAGTTATATCCTACAGGCCTCACTAAATATACTGGCAGAGCTGACTAGCATGCGGATCCACATGGCTACCAGATCAGGCAAAACCAAGGGTAGTAGATTGTAGAGTAAATTGTTAATGGAGTCAGTGTGAGAAATTGGACTTCAGAATTAAATAGGAATTCCACCAAAACCTAGCATTTAATATGTTATAGGTCATATGTAATATTCTGTAGCACAGCATTGCATGCCTTAACCTTTTTGTTTGACAGAACTCACGGTTTTGTATCCTTTTTGTGTTTTCATCCATCCATATTCTCTCACTACAATAGCCAGCATGCATTAGGCAATCACTGGGAATCCCATCCACAGTGATGAAGAAAACATTATTGCTCTGATGTTGAGACTTAGAAATGCAGATCTATTTTTTTTTCCTAGTAGTATGTTAGTTATCTGGCTTCCTTCTGCATTCGTCAACTTTTCAAACAGCTCCACCTTCAAGATATATCCTCAAAGTTTTTTTTTCCTTTCTTTAAACCAGAAAATCTTGCGCTAAAGACTAATGTCAGACTACTGTGGCACCACTGTAGTAGGCATGCTTACAACAGATGTCATAATGGGTAAGTTTTTGATTTGGGTCCTGATTTAAGTGTCCTTTTAAGGGATTCACTATTATAGGTAATGATTTGCTGGAGCTGCCTCTTTCCACCTGCATCTAGTCATTCATCCATGAAGAGTTTTGATGCCCCCTCCAGTGTTGTAGCACCATCTACTGTTATTGAAGACTGTCTTTTGATTGATTCTATGAGGAAGTCTACTAACAGCCTAAAGCATTTCACTTGTGCTAGGCTAATCAATGGAGTCCTTGTAATGCTACACGTTTCACAAAAGAGTACCATCAACCTGGGAGAAGCTCGTTCACGCTTCCTTTGAGATGTTTCCCAGCCATGGGCCATCAGTGGCTGATGAAATCTAAAATCTGAATATTGGCCTGTGCTAGGCCAATCAGACTAACATTCATTTGGGATGACTCCAGTTTTTTACAAGAAGATTCCATTGTTGCTTAGGGTTCCATCAAATCCCATCAAATGCAGTGTCTGTGAAGGCTAATTGAATACAGACTTAAAATGGTGCACAGAAACATTTTCCAATATAATAATCTGTGTCATTGCCACCCATTGATTCACCCATACACTTTGGACAGTCATAGTAATACATTTTAGTTAAAGGATGATGGATCTGAAACAATGGGTGATGCTTTCAGAAACAGATATGAAACTAGGTGAACCATTTTTTAATGTGTTTTTTTTTTTTTTGTCTTTTTGCCTTTTTTCAACCTGTTTTTGCCTCTTGAAGAAAAAAGGCCATGTAGGATGTCATAATAATGTCTTACTATCATAAAATTCTCATAATAATGAAAATTTCTCTCTTAATTATTAGATACTAATTCATCATTATGAGATACTAAGTCATGATTATGAGAAGGTAAGTCAAAATAATGAGATGCTGTCATAATAATGAGAGAATGTGATAATAATGAGAAAGTAAGTCATAATGACTTTGAAACTTTCTTGTTATTATGACTTGCTAAATTACTGTATATATTTTTTTCCCTCTGTGATTCCCAAGTCCTCATAATTCTACCCACTGTATGGAACAGTAGTACAAGGCTGGGGAAAGGCTGTTTCTCTGAGCAGTTTTCTTCACTCATTGCAATAAACCACAGGGGAGGCTGATCATCTAATGCCTAGTGTTCAAAATAAACAAGGTGGGATGTTAGCTTTGTTTGCCAGTTTAGAGGATTTTCATTAAAAGCTCTTGTGGAGTAAATGATAAAATATAACGTTGCAGAACATCACATGGAATAATAAGTAAATTCAAAATATCAGTGTGGGACTAATGTTTTGCCAGTTTAGCAGATTTCCGTTGAAGGCACTTACATTAAAACATAAAAAACAATCTCCAGTTTAAACAAGTGTAATGGCCGAACGACTGTATTTGTAGGCCTAAATGTCTCTCGCCGACAAAATCTGAGGATAAAACACTTGAAGTGGAGGACATGGCGAGCATGTCCATCATTCATTTAGACCCACCTCTGATTCGCCGGATTCTGAATCGTTTGGATGACACAGCTCTTTGTATTCACAAGAGATTCGGCGAACCGACTCTTCCAAACGAGTCATTCGCCCAAATACGATTCGTTGCTAAATGTAAACCACGGGGGAAGGAAAAATGGTGGCGAGCACCCGTGTACAGAAGCTTCTCCGACGGTACAAACTCGCTATCGCCGCTGCTTTGACAATCCTTCTGATCCAAGGGTTGGTAGTATGGAGTCTCCGGAGTCTGGAGGACAGAGAGGCGGAGGTGAGGATGTTTTTAAAACGACTCGGCGTTGGCTGAATGAGAAACAGTGCTGCTCTCCGTGGCTAGCGACGCTTCAGTTTGGTTTGTAGTACAGTCAGCTAGCGTGCTAACAGTTTAGAAACCGGACCATAATAATATTATTATAACATTATAAGCTACCACCGTTGTATTTTGTCAAGTCGCCGAATTTTTAATACAGGAAACTACACTAAGTGTGGTTTGCTAGCTAGCTAATTGTCTGTACGAGAACGTTGATGTTGTTTATGTATGCAGATGTGAAGTAGTCGGATTTAAAATGCCGGGGTTTGAGCCATGGCTCCTTAAAACTCCTTCATTTGAGTGGTATTTTATGTGTTTAAAACTGTGAGTGTACGCTTTTCGTCAGTGCTTGTGGCGCCCGGTAACACTTACGTGAACTAGACAGTAATACTGTGGCGTGGCTGAAAAACTAACTTCTGCTTTTACTGGTAGTTATCCAGCTAACCAGAACCGAAAACGTGAATGAAGCAAACGTGGCTGTAGCGGCTAAAACTGTTTCATGTGATGTTTAAGGCAGGCTAGGAACTGAGTCTGACTAGCCACGTTGAATCACAACGTGTAACGACGAGTATAAGGAATGTGCTTTCGTGTCTGCTTGTGGCTCTCCTGATAAAGCCTAATCGCCCTCCCCGCTCTATAACGGGGTCAGACTGTGTGTGATTAAGTCTGAGGACTTGCACTCATTTACATGCTTCACATTTGGAGCCTGATCTTTTGGAGCGAACACTTGATGAGCAAGGGAAGCTTGAAAGCTGAACTACTTGCCAAATGCATTTTAGATCACTGGGATCCCATTAGGTATTAAGTTCTTGCAAAGGCAAGGATATAATGACTGGAAGACTATTTAGTACTTAGTAGACAGACAAGACAGCTGGACTTGTGGTACAATCTTGAAGACGTTTCACCGTTTAAAGATGAGTCACGTAGGTTTTATTCACTACTACCTTAATGATTGAGTAAAAACCTTCACTGAAAGGTTGGTAGACGGGTAAGGTCCTGGTCTTAAAGGGACTCTCTGACCAAAACTGAATTGTAACCATGGCTACATCTGTTGTAAACATACCTACTAGTCTCCTATAGCAGTGCTGTAGTAGTTTTTAGGGTGAGATTTTCTTGTATAAAGACTAGGAAAACCCCCTTTTGATGATTCATCTTGAAGGTGGGAGGGGCTTCAGTCATCAAAGATTTCATATAAGTGAACACTGCATGATTCTCGTAACTGCTGAACATGGTCACAACTGTACTGTGAGTAGATCAGAAGGGTAAGGTTTGAATTTTACACACCCAACACCACAGGATAATCTGGAAAGATAATTGTATATATAACAATATAATATATATATAACATATGTTATATAATATATATATAACATCTCTGTAATGCATGCTGGGTATTGATGAACGTAAACACTAAAGGGTACAAAATCTCAAATTCTTCGACACTAGTTAGGCTAAGGTATGCAATACTACGAAACCAGAATATTACAATGTGGTAAAACATTTCTATGATATTTACTCTGGAATGCTGCTTTAATTCATCACCTGTTTCCAGACTCAACTTGCAAATTTGTCTTTTATTGTGGAAGCAGGTCCAGCGATATAGTAGTTGGTAGTAGAAATATTTAGCTCAAGTGAGATGCCAGAAGCTCATGCCTGTCAGTTAGGCCTGATATATGATACAGTGCTCTCCTAATAAAGTGCCAGGTTCAGCAGAGATTTTGCTGGAGCAATGTGCTGCGTATGGAAGAGAGATGTTATCCTCTCCGAGACACCGAAAGAGCGCATAACCCAAAAATGCTAGCTTTGCTAATAATGGATGAAAGCAGGTGGGAGCCAGCTTTAAACAGACGAGCTCCTGCTAACTGGTCCCCTCTGACTTTCATTCATCACTAGCCCCTGTTGTTATTTTGGGGGTGAGGTATTGCTTTAAGCTGATTGCAAGGCAGTCGAGGCTTGTTTTGTCCCTCCTGAACTGGAGCAGCCTGCATCCTCACTGCAAAGTTTTCCAGAAGCCCCACTCATAATTAGCCCTCATGGGTATGCACCCCCATCTCACCTCTCTCTCGCTCTCTAAGAAGAAGCCTCAGAATGGCAGCTATAGGTAAGGGCTTGGCAATGTTGGACACCTGAGGCAAACATTATTAGGGATTCTGCTCATACACACACTGTTGCGCTGCGTCCTTATTCCTTAAGGAACAAGCCATGGCTTGAGTTGAGGGAGAAGCAGATGCTTCTTCCCATCGGGAGGAATTCTGCTGTATCAAGCAAGTGGCAGTGGCCGAGATGCAGCGAAAACAGCCCTCGGGTACAAGCCCTAGTGCAAACGTGGGCTGCAAACGTGACGTGTCATTTGTGATGAGGAGTAGCTGCAGGGGCTTCGGCGTGACAACTGTTGTCCTCAACCAGACCGGGAGGACGCTGCTGAATGTAATGGTTCTGACAGGGCTTAAGGCCATGGGCCTTGGAGGGAGAGAGCCTCTTTATCATATGCTATCTTTTTTCGCTGTTTGCACAAGAGGCATAAGCAGTATAGTTTACGGGCGAGTGTGACCTCTCTCTGGGCAAATACACTCAGCATGATGGGGAGGTGATGAAAGAGGCCATTGATTCAGAGGCTCTTGCTTCAGAGAAGAGCAAGGGAATGAATTACTGCACAATGCTGTGGTGTCAGTGTGCCCTTTATTACCTGTGTGCTTAAAGATGCATCTGCTGAAAGAGAACATAAGCCTGGGTTATCTGAGAGAATTCCTAGTTCCTGCTGTGCTTGTTTTAAGTTGATGCTGTCAACAGCACGCAGTTGTTGGGCAAGAGATCTTGGAGATGTTACGTTTGAAATCATGCGTTTGTGACAGACTCATGCACTGCACAAGCTCTACATGCAGTGGTAGACATTGTCCACTGCTGAGTGCCCTTGGCCACAAGATGTCATTTTATCCATTAAAAATAGGTAAGAGCTTACCTTGTAATTTTTTTTGTGTTGTTTTTCCCTTTTAACAAACCAATTCATTCACTGTAATCACCTTGATAGCTAACGTGGTAGTGAGGTGACCGTGGTCATCCCCCCTGCCGTGTCTGTCTGGCACCATAGATGCTGTTCCATTGACTAATGTTTGCTTATATCACTCCATAAAATAAGGTCTGAAGTAAGTTGGCGTTACATTGAGAGGCTGTCACTGCAGTAGCTAAAGAGAAACTAATAATGGTGCTTGTTATTCTAGATATATCTATATAAAAATCTATATATGATTTGTTTTTATATATATTATACACCCTGTGTACATAAACTGTGCTTGGTGACATTGTTATTAATGCTCATTGCTGATTTATATATCTACAGTGGCGCAATATAGATTACAAACATAATGCAGTACTTTAATAAACATTTAGTATTTTAGCTCACATCTGAATATCTTCTTCTTCGTTATGTTGATCAGACAGATGTAAACAAACTTCTCCATTTTGATTGGTCCTGGCCATGAAAACACATCACTACAGATTTTAGATTTTTTTAAAGATTTTAAAAGATTTACATCTTAAATTTACATCTGTATCACCGCTGCTATCTAGGAAAGCGAAAATCCAGTCAGATTCATCTGTCTCCTTATCTGATGTTTAGCACATCTGTCTTGCAGCTTTTGTTTCGGATGTCCATCGTAAAACTTTATTACAAACTGAAAACCAGAATATTTTGATTAAGAAACAATCTAAAACAAATGTACTTTTTGGAGAATTATGGTTCATTGTGAAATGTAAAGAGTATTGTTTTTAAAGGAAATATTGCAAACAGGTATTTGAGTACTTGTTCGGAAAAACAGACAAACTTTCGAAGCATGTGTGTTCGGGCCTGGCTTTAAAAAAATGGCCATTTCGGGTAAACTGTGACATGGCTTTTAGTGAAATTCCCTCAAATTGATTAAAAAATTGTGTCTGAGGAAATGACTTCCCAGCTTGTAGCCCATTTTAGACATGGTTAGTGTTTTCGAGTGGGTGTTCAGTGCGTGTCTTGACGCATCAAGAACAACCTCTCTGTACCCCTCTCCACTGCATTCGCTGGGTAAATTTAGTATTGTCTTGTGGGCGAAAGGCCCAGTTTAAAGAAGGCTGCATAATGTAGGGGTTTCTGCTGTAAGTGCCGGTGGTTCGTGCCGTCCGACAGTTGGTCTGGGGCGTGTGGTCTCTGGCTCGCCCCCTGTTCCCACAGTTCTTTGCTGTGCATTGGCCAGTGGCGTGTGGCGAAGGCCCAGACTTGGCTGCACTGTCTTACTGCAGCGGGAACTGGTGGGCCATGCTTATGTTATTCTTCTCTCTTTCTCTCTCTCTCTCTGTCTCTCTTTCTCTCTCTGCATACTTGCAGGCCCACATCAGCATGCCTGTGTGTGCTGTTGTGGGAAGCGTTCTTCGTCCCACCGCAGAATGAGGTGTTTTAAGATGTCATTTTTCTGTTATGCTTTGCATGCTTTCAGAGTTTGGGTTTACATTCCATGCTGTCTGTCTGGCAAGCTGAAAGCGTTCGTCTGTTGTTCTGTCTCTGCAGATGAGGTGCCATGATGTGCTATGAATTCTCCACAGTGTGAATACTAGTTGAAATAAAGCTACTTGATGTTTATAGCAGCCCTTGGTACGTGATTCGACTGTGCTCTAATCCATTGGGAGTAGCTGCATTAAGGTGCCTTTTAGGAGTGGGTGGTATGCTAGCGTTAGGATACTTTCTCCAATATGAGTTTTGTCTTGGTTATTATACTGAGGTGCAACAAATGCGTGCAGATAACCCAACGTACAAGCAGTGCAAACCACTCTAATGTTAGTCCATTTGGCTGAATGGCTAAGACAGGGAGGTTTTAGGCATATTTCAAATGAATGTAAGAAAGAAGCAGTCTCTCGATCACGTCCCACAGTCTGGTCTGTTGCATCTGAAGTAGTCCACTTTGTTTTCAAGACAACAGTCATAAATGAATGACTGA